ATAGTGGATCAGAATAGTTTACAGTATTCTAGAAAACATCTTACCAGTGCCCTATAGAAAAATGTTAATACTGACCTATCTGTGCTAAAATACCTTTACTGATACATTCTAGGATCACATTTTAATTGTTGGATCATGCAGGTAAATTTAAAATGAACTTGTATTTTATTAGTGTCCAGTTTTTTTCCTCCTCAGACACTTCCAACAGATGGCCTCCCAACTTACAGAAACATTTTGGGCATTAGTACCTAAATACATGACCCTGCATTTCCTTTTATTTAATTTCATAGCATCATCTCATTTCTGGTACCGCAGTCTTCAAGGTCATCCTGTTCTTCCTGTATGATATTCTGATCCTTCTCTGGATCAACGGCGTCTCCCAGCTGTGTGGCATCAACAAACTGATTAAAACATTCCTACTTTTGGTGTCAAGCACATGTAACCTGGGTACACCCAATGGTGTGCCCTATTCTCAATTGAATGGGTTGGGTAGGCAGGAAGGGGTGCTGGGAGAGGGATGCCAGAATTTCAAGCAGATCCCTCTTTCGGCTATAGAGTTAGCCTAAGCCCAAAGTTCTTAATACATTGTATGTAGTTAAGTTATAATATACATAAACATAAAACTAAATATCAAAGACATATATTTACAAAGAGAACACTAACCAATAACCAAGGTAAAACATGGCTATGAGGAAAAACTCTGTCACTAGGAGAGTAGTAAGCACTGGAAGAGGTCACCCAGAGAGGTGGTGGCCTCTCCATTCTTGGAGGTTTTTAAGCCCAGGCTAGACAAAGCCTTGACTGGGATGATCTAGTTGGGGATGGTCCTGATTTGAGCAGGGATTGGACTAGATAACCTCCAGAGGTCCCTTCCAACCCTAACTTTCTATGACTCTATGACTATTTACAACATCACAATACAACATTTCAATTACAAAATATAAAGCGCAAACATGAACAATCTTAATAACATCTATTCCTTAATATAGTCCCTGACCCATGGCAAGAGATAGTCTTCCTTCCAATAGGGTCCCTTGCAGGGAGTCCAGGAAGCACCAGGGGCCCCTCCCCTTAGGGCCTTGACTAGGTGTGGGGCTGCTCACCCAGCTCCTTCTCTGGGTTAGCCTGCCCCAAATGTCTTTCCCCTGTGGGACCCAAGGGCCCAATGACTCATCAGGTGGCAGTGGTCAGGGAGCAGCTCAATGGGGTCTTCGGTGCTGGAGCACCTCTCCAGGCCTCTCCTGCACTACTGGGCTCCTCTCCACCCTGTGCCCTGCTCTGGCACCGAAGGCACAGCTCCTCTCAGCTGCTGTACCACTGCTGCTGGCTCCTGGGTGCTAGGCCTCATGCTGCAGCACTACAATTTCCCCATACCCTGGCTCAGCACTGAGGGCTCACTTAGCACAGGCTGGGCCCTTCAGGCTCTGGCTGGCTTTCCTCACACTGTGTGGCTAACCCAAGCAGCCTCCGCTGCCCCCTGGCTTCTAAGGCTCGGGCCCTACGCTGCGCTGTGCACCATGGAACCTGTCCGCTTGCCGGGAGATAGGGCCTGAGCCACCTCGCTGCAGCCCCAAGGCATTTGCCTCGTGTGCTGCCCCATGTGCTGTGTGGCCCAATGGCCCTTCCAACGTTGCAGGTGCGAGCTGCCACTTGCAGCCCCCAAAGCCTGGGCTCTGTGCACTGAACCATGCACCGTGATAGGCCTGAGCAGTCTCACACTGGTCCCAGGGCTGGGTCCTCGCGCATCGTCCCTGTGCGCCATCAACAGTCTGAGCAGTCTTGCACTGCTCCCTCCAGTGGCAGCTTCAGGAGCCTTGGGCCTATTGCCCACTGGGGGAGAGCTCCCCAGCTTTTGTTGGCTCCACTCTTCTTGAGTCCCTCACTGCATCTGCCTCTTGTGCTGGTCACGCAGCTTCTTTTATACACTCCAGGGCTCCGCCCCTGAAGTCTTCCAGACCTGACAGTTTACAGTCTTCAATCAGATCCAGGGGAGCTCTTCTCCCCCTCCCCTCAGGAAAGGGGCGTGACTTTATTTCTCCTGCTGCCTCCTGATTAGTGGATCTCAAGCCTGGGACTGAACCCAAGCTCTGAAAGGTGAGCCTGCTACACACATTACTGAAAATATTAGAGATCAGTCCTAAACCAGTCCTTCAGAAACTACCGCCAACCTCCTTCCAAGCCAATACTTCCTTTCTAGCATTAGTCTTCACCCCTTAGCCAGTTCCTCATTTACCTTACTTCCTAAAATTCAAAGTTTTTATTATAATTTAAATGATTTATCTTAGTCTCCTAAGCACAGATTATTAAATTATGCTCGCTTAGTGAACTTTATTTTTAGACAAATGCAGAATTCACTAAATGCAGTAGATCCATCCCAGGGTTTGAATACTACAAGACGACAAAATAATTTGCTATGTAACAATAGTAATTTGCCAAAGAAACTAGACAAAAACAGAATTAAATGAGCATCTGACAAAATACAAAGAAATTTCCCTGAAATACAGGTCCTGATAAAAAAAAAAAATTGAAACCACCAAAGAGATTTCCATTCACTATAATGGCCATTGATATAAGGTAGAAACACCAGTCCTGATCGCATCCTAGGCCACATGCAGATGTTCAGTTTCTAGGAGAATTGCTGTTCTCTAGAGGTGCGTATTGGATTGGCACTGATAAAAGGAAAATTGGCATTATCATCAATCGGCTTTTTTTGGCCAGTGTAGCTGATAATGTCACCAATAAGTGCTGTGTGCATTTGCACAGCCACAGCATGCACACCGCCAGGAATGTACCAGGAGAACATCTTGGAGAGTACCCTCCTGCCGGTAAGTCTGTGGAGGGAAGAAGAGGTGTGGGGGCCCCCCATGGTGAGGAAGGGAGTGGGATAGGGACAGTTGCAGGTACTGCTCAGCCAAGGCAGTGGTTGTGACCCTGCTGGGAGTGGGACAGAACCATGGGTGGCTCATTTGGGGCGTGCAGATGGGTGGGGGTGGCTCCCCACTGCTGTACACACCCTCAAGGGAAGCATGGGGGCATGTGCCCCCCCAGATATGAGGCGAGAGCAGACTGCACACTGTGGGCTCAGGGCCAGGGGCTGTGCCAGTCTCTTCCTGGTGTGGGGGCTGGGCCAGGGATGCTCTCAGAGCAGGTGAGAGCAGGGAACATGGCAGCAGCACTGGGAGGGGTAGCTACATGGAATTTTGTGGTGGCTGTAGCCAGCCCCACAACCACTCCTCACAGTGCTGCTACAGCCTGTTCTGCCTCCGCCCACTGCAAGTGCAGCACTTGCCCAGCATCCCCACTGGGAAGAGGCTGGCACAGCCCCCAGCCCTGAGCCTGCAGTGGGCAACCTGCCACCACCCCACAAACAAATTCAGAGGGGCACATGCCCCCCATGCCTCCCCCAGGGTGCATACAGTGGCAGGGAGCTGCCCCCTTCCTCAAGCACCTGTGTTCCCTGGACAAACCACCTGCAGCTATGTTCCAGTCCCAGTGGGAATGCATCCACCACTGTGACTGGGCTGCACCTGCTCCTGCCCTTGCCCCACTCTCTCCCTTACCATGATGGCCATGATCTGTCCCCCCTATGCCCCTTCCCCCCTACAGACTTACCAGCAGGAGGCTTCTCTCCAAGCTGCTGTGCTGATTATCAGCTATCGGATAGGTACCAGCTGATATGGCTGGTTAATAATCGGCCAAAAAAATCTTTATCAGTGCATTCCTACTGTTCTCTTGGTACAAACCAAAAGCGTGCAGACCTTCAAGCTTTTTCTCCCAGGGTAAAAATGGCCACTTCAGGAGAAAAATAACCTGACAACAAGATAGAAATCACTCCTGGGAGAGTTTCTCCTGGGAAGCTGACCATCTGCATACCTTCTCCAGCTTAATTCATCCTGGGGACCAGGAGGCATAGAGTCAAAGAAAAGGCTCCCATGCCTTCCTGAGACTAAGGTCATCCAAGTCTAGAAAAGGTTCTGGGAAGTCACTGCTCCTGCCCATCCCATAGACTGGGAGGGGAGCGGAGGAAAAGCCACCAACTACTCCCTGCCTGCTTCTCACACTGGAGTTTCCCCGTGTGAAAAGCAGGCAGGGGCTTTTTCCTGCTGTTCCCTGGTTTCCAGCCCAGCTGGCTTTTAAACTGCTGCCCTGCTGCTCAGCTGAGCAGTGGGGTGGGGAGGGGGCCAGCAGTCAAGAGAAGGAAGCAGTGCAGCAAAGACCTTGAATGTTTCTGACATCAGAGTACCTAGGGTGAGAAGCAAAGAGAGCCCTTTGCTCCATTTCTCCAGTCCCCTCAATAACAGGAGGACTGGGGCAACCTACACTTTCCCCAGACCCTGGGCTTTTGCAGACTAAACATTTGTAATGCTCCCTCTCCCAGAATCGTATCTAATGGTGGAAATTTTCCACCACTGAAAATGAATGTTAGCCCTAACCTAACACTGAGAAGTAAGGCACTGATGAGGCACATGGATCCAGATTCAGTGTGCACAATGATCTACACATACAGATCTCTAGTCACATGATCCAAATCTAACTTTTCCATTTTGTATGTGTGCTAGCTATATAGGGTACCTATACATGAGCGCCGAGGCTACTCCAAGGTGCTGGAATTCGTGCACATTGGAGCATACTCGATTAACTGAGTCTGCTGGAGCGTGACAATTGCTGTGCTCCAGCAGCCTCCTGCATCTCATGAATCAGCATCCCCGCACTGAAAATGGTAGTGGGGGTGCTTGAACTAAAGCTCTTCAAAAAAGCTTTAGTCCAAGCACCCCTGCCACCATTTAAGTGCAGAGAAACTGATACAGGAGATGCAGCAACTCTTGGAGCCACTCTAATTAAAGCATTGCCCCCCCACCACCACCAGAACACGTGTAAGTGCCCAAAGACACTAATATCATGAAATGCAGAAAAACAGTCTAGTAACAACAAACAACATGAAGCAAGCTATCTTTATTATTAATTTATCAGAAAATAATCAATAGGGAAAATGTTTGCCATTTTTCAAGAAGCAGCAATCCATACAACATACTCGCAAACATGAGAATGGATATGGATTAAAAATTCATCATCTTAATTAAATAAAAGAGAATGCATCTTCATAGCTATTAAGTGCTGTCTAATATGAAACTAAATGACCCATTACCCTTAAACATATTGTCCTGAGTTTATGTAGGACAAATAATGAATGATAGCATGAGAAAGACACATTTCCCTGCAAATGATACATAGGAACTGTTCTGGGCATTTTTTATTAAGCATATAAAAACCATACACCCATCTATGTATTTTATATTTTACCAAAAAAACATGCTACAGGAACATGAAGATTGCAAAATCAAATACTCAGAAATGAGTTGCTGTCAGCAGCAATCCCTCACAGTTGAGGATGGTCACCCTCATGGGTCAAGTAAAGGGTTGTAAATTAGTCTGTTGATGGTTAAGGCCAATCCTTGTGCTGCAAACTCTTTGGCAAACACCACAGGTGGTGGTTAAAGGGAGGGTCAGAGCGCAGGTTTCTCAGTCTTGTTTCTTTTATCGGTGATTGGTTATCATGGTAGATGATGGATCCAGTGGGAGAAGCCTGTGCATGACTTGTTTTATGTCAGGAAACTTTTGCGCATTGGTAACTGCATGGATCTCGGCAGAGAAGAAACCGGTGTCAAGGCAAGGGGATCCAAGACATCTGGGGTTACTTAGTCTGCCTTTGCAGCCATTGAGAAGTATGCCTTCTTCATCCATCTGCTCCACCACTGAGGTAATTTTAAATTACACAGTCACAGTTTTTCAGAGGATATCTGTCTAACCCCGAGTACAGGGGGGATGGTGCTGGCTTAATAAGTAGTTATTCAGTATTTTATTTTATTCTCATTGTTCAATGGATGATCCTATGCCTTAGGACCCTGCTACACATTCAAATTAATATTAGAGAGAAACCAGCTATAAGGTTGTTATACATTTTTAAGCACTAACTTTATAGCTGGTTGGCTCTTTTTAGAGCTGGAACATCATTTTTACCATGTGATAATTACTTTGCATTTGTGCCTGGTCTACATCTATTGTGTGGTTAACCAGTTAATTGTGTGATAATTAGGGGGCCAGTCTTACTTTGCACATGTAGCCAGTCTAAATTTATTGTGCAAATCGCCAATTAATTGCATAATATATGTAATGTGTGGCAGAGGCCTTAGTTACTTCACACTCTTCAAATCCTGTTCAAAGGAAAGAATAATTAACTTTTTCTTGTCCTCACTCATCACTGTAGTATTGAAAGGCACAGGTATATGAACAAGTTACCACAAGGTAAAGGAAGGGAGGAATTTTCCTTGTATCAATTTCACCATAACTGCCCAAGCACATGATGTGGGTAGGTAGCTTATGGTTAAAAACAGGGGTAAAGTTTCTGCAAGTTAGTTTTCATTGACTGCAGCATAACAGCATACACACGGGCAGAAACCACAGAGCAGCTGACACTGTAAATCTCCATCCTCCATTGCCTCATAATTTTGTTGTGTGCCCAAGCCTTGAGTACTTCATAAATGTTAACTGATTTATTTTCACAACAAGTCTGTGAGATGAAGGTGTGTCATTACAGACTGGGAATTGAAGCGCACCATTTACAGCAGTGGTTCTCAACTTTTTTTAGAGACTCAAGGCATTCCTTGAAAAATGCAAGGTCTTAATTTTTACACAGTCAAAAAGCAAGTGAAAAATATTTAATAGAGTGATTCCTCTGTTGCAGAGAACTCAGAGAAACCATAGCAGGTCAGAATATTTTTAACACTATGGATTCCTCTTTGAAATCTCTGGGTTTATCTTGTGAATCACATTTGCACACCTAACAGTGGTAACATTGTGTAGCACCCCATAGCACCCATAAAAGGGTCTCAAGGAACCCCAGGGTGCCATGGCACCCTGGTTGAGAATCACTTTAAGGTCAAAAGTATACCCCAGGAACTACTTTGAAATGTATTTAGCATTACAAAGCATTCAGAAATGTAACCACAGTCACTGAAGCTGTGCTTCAAATAAGGTGCTCCACAATGCTAAGCATGCTGAAAAATCAGATCCTAGGTCCCTCAAACTGAGCACATGGAAATTAAAAGCCACATGCTTAGGATTGGATTACACGTTACAATTAGATCATGTTAAGAGCACTTAAAACTTCAATGATTACATATTAGGGCTCGTTAACTAGTGCTAAGTGCCCTTTAGGCATTTTAAAGTTATGCCACTTTAGGCCAGGATTATTTTTGAGCTCTATCGATTAGCTTGAATTAAGTTAACTTCTGGGTGTTCACCTGAGATGAAACCAAGTTACAGTCCTCCAGTATCTCAGGATGCACTGCTCCAAACTGGACTAGCCATCATCCAGGACTCTGTACACCTGGGCTGACAGCTGAGAACAGCTAGGTGGGAATGGAGCGAGTGGAGAGGGAGGGGAAAGGGCTGAAGCGTAGTAGGGGGGCATAGGACAGGAGGGGGGGGGGCCCCTCCACCACAGGATTATTATTGCCCTGCCACCCCAATCAGCCCAAGAGTGGCAGAGATGCCAGTGGCGGGGGGGTCTACTTTCCTGCCTGCTCCTGGGATCTCTGTAGATGACACTGCCCCAGCTTGCCCAGATCCAGCCCCTGGCAAGACCTGAAACTGAAAGAGAGGCAGGGAAATGGGAGTTGTGGGACAGAAAAAACTGCCAGGCAGCAGTAGGACCTGATGGGAACTGGATCCAGGTACAGAGGGCAGTACAGCGAGCCCACAGGCAGTCAGGGAATGTCCCCCTGCCCAACACACACACCCACCCACCCACCCCAGGGCTGATTGGGGTGACAGGGTGGCAATCAGGGGGTAGTGGGGCCAATAGCAAGGTGAAGGGGGGGGGGGAAAATCTGAAAGTTGACAGCTGGTGAATCCAAGCAACATGCAGGGGGGCCTTCCCCCACCTCTTCCCCAGCCTATAGTGTGGCCAGAAAGCCAGCAAGCAAGGCAGGTATGGGACAGACTTGCAGCCCCTAGTCATGCCTCTACTTGCCTGCCCTCTATCATCAGGTCTGAGCAGCGCACATTGGAGAGGGTATTAATTCCAAATCTATGACTGATCATCAGCACTAATTAAATTTAGCAAATACTAATATTCCTTAGAACTAGCACCTGCTAGGTCTAGTGTGTGATCTCTCTGCTAGTGGCCACCTGTGAAAAGTTTGGTTTAAGTGACTTGTCTTGCATGGGAACTCAACTGCAGAGATGAGGTAGAATCAAGTTTTCTAGGGCAACATTTAACTTCCCTAAGTATGAAACCATTCTTTGTCTTCCTGCAATCCCCTGCCTCATTAACACCACATTTTCCAACTTGTCCAACAAGAGAAGACAATGACCTTCATTACAGACCCTTGGTTTAGCCTCAGAATATTGCTCTTCTCCTTTTCAGTAAGTTGACTTTTTCCTCTCTGCTGCCTGGGCACCAGCAGATAGAATAATGAAGCACCAGACACAGTTGATTTGCTCTCAGTTTTTGTGCCTGGTGTCACAATAGCTCCTTATAGCTGGGATCAGTAACTGTTGGGAAAAATCCTGTTCAAACCACTACAGCCCATAGATGGAGCATGCTCAGTGCTCCATCCCAACTTGAACTATCTACTGACTACATCATATTATTAACTCACATGTCATTTCAATTTCTTTTAGTTAGCCTGAAATAATTTTTTATTCATGTTTTAAACAACCACTCCTTCTATTCATACAGTAAGTGCTTACCTTTTTTCTTGTCTAAAGTGTCAAACTTTCATTACAACACCAGTAGGAGGCACTTTTACCTAGAAAACAAAAATAAGGTTTTCAATCTGTATTAAGTAGCAACTGCCTTCATTTTTTAAAATAAAATATTCTGTATATATGGAAATGTGACATATCAGTAGTACTTCATAATAACATACTGCGTCCCGTCACCACCTGCTTGTTGCCAGCAGCAGGTGCATGCACAATTTCAGGTGGATGGAGGAGCAGGGGCTGGGGCTGCGCTGCCAAAAGAAGAATCAGGCCCCTCACAGGTCACCTGCCATCTGCCCTGATGGCTGGCATGCCAAGCAAAGTATCTTCATGTGCCACACTCTGGCACACATGCCAGGGCGTTGCAGACCCCTGATCTATAATTACGTGTCAGTTCAAGCACTTTTCTTTGCTAAAAATCAAATAGTTCGGACTGATGCCCTTTGATTAACTTAATTTGTTAAAATGAAAATTCTATATCACCTAATATGTATGTAATTATGCCAGAGCAGCTAACACACACTAATAAATTATGATCTTTTTGGCAACTCCTGTGGAAAGGTCAAAAGGGGTTCCCTCCCTCCCATTTCCTTCAGTGTCCCCTAACTGGGACAATTGGTAAAGATTTTAATTTAACGGGACATGGAAATTAACTATGCCATTAAGTCACATGTGACAGATGTCTGAATTGTATATAAAAAAAAATTATAAGCATACACACACACAGTGATTAAAAATTTATAAGTTTTCTTTGCAAAAAATAAAATTACTGTAGTATCCATGTAGCCTAGGGGATGTTATGGTAACTTTAATTACTTGTTAAACCACCTGTAAAGAGTTCAGTGATGATCAGTGTGCTTGTGTATGTATTACACATTTCATTATTAGCTCTATAAATACATCACCTTAATTTATAAATATATCATCCACAAAAACGCATTCTTTGAAATGAAACACATTTATTCAAAAGATCTCAGAATCTGCTAACAAAACTCAAGGTCAGCCTGAAAAACCTGTTTACAAATTCACTCAATGTCACCCAGGTTTTCTATAAGGATACAACAATAGCATTTCAACTTATTTGTATTCTATAATAGAAGAGCGCTTATTGGATTTTTCTCACTCATCTGTCATGCCCTTAGGGTTTTTAGATCATTAATGATCAATAGATTAGTTTAGATAAGAAAGGTAATTCAGACCATTGAAAAACAAGCAAGCTTCTCTGATGGGTCTCAGGCACCGGCAGCAAATTAATTCACTGTTTCACTCTATTCTGGATTATTTTTCTAAATGATAAAATGCACTATTTAAGGAGTGTATCTTAAAATATCAGTTATCTTATCCATACTATAAAATACCTTAATCCATACTATAACTGGTGGCTTGGTTTGTCAGTCTAAAAGAATATAAAATATATTAGTAAAGTCTTTGAAAAGATTATTAAGGCTCATATATGCGAGAGCCCAGCAGAAAAAATTATGCTGAGGGGAAACTAGCACAGGTTCATAGCAGGTAGATCATGCCTGACTAATCTAGTCTCTTTTTATGACCAGGTTACAAAACATCTGGACGCAGGAGTAGGGGTAGATATCATTTACTTAGACTTCAGGAAGGCCTCCGACAGGGTATCCCACCCCATACTGGTGAACAAATTAAGAGGCTGTGGCTTGGATGACTACACAGTCCAGCGGGTGGCAAATTGGCTAGAGGGTCGTACCCAGAGAGTGGTGGTGGACGGGTCGGTATCGACCTGGAAGGGTGTGGGCAGAGGGGTCCCGCAGGGCTCGGTCCTAGGACTGATACTCTTCAATGTCTTCATCAGTGACTTGGACAAGGGAGTGAAGTGTACTCTGTCCAAGTTTGGGGATGATACAAAACTGTGGGGGAGAAGTGGACACACTGGAGGGCAGGGAACAACTACAGGCAATGATAAATTGAAATAATAAGTTATAACGAGCAAACTAAACTATAGGAACCAAATGAAGAACCTATTCCACCCATGATCCTTATGCAACCCTCCCATTAACATCCATGGAAATGTTGGTGTATGTCAAGGAGAGTAGGCAGTCCTAAGATGTGTACTTAGGGAACTTTTGGAGGGACTGGACATGTTTAAATCAGTAAGTCCAGATGATCTTCACCCGAGGGTGCTGAGGGAATTGGCTGGGGTAATAGAGGCCTCTGGCATGGCTCTATGAGCATTCATGGTGCTCTGTCCAGGTACCAGAGGATTGGAAAAGGGCCAACGTGGTCCCTGTTTACAAGAAGGGGAGAAAGGAGGACCCCGTAATTATAGGCCAGTCAGTGTTACCTTGGTCCTTGGGAAGACCTTTGAGAAAATTATCAAGGAGCACATCTGCAAGGGCCCAACAGGGGAGGTAATGCTCAGGGGCAACCAACATGGGTTCACTGAGGGCAGGTCCTGCCTGACTAACCTGGTTTCTTTTTATGATCAGGTCACAAAGTCCCTGGATGAGGGTGTCAGGGTGGATGTCATCTTCCTGTCATCTTTAAGAAGGCCTTTGACATGGTTTCCCACCACATTCTCTTAAAAAAAAAAAACTTGGTGACTATGGCATTGATACCTACACAGTCAGATAACAATGAGAGTGTCCAGAGGAGGGCCACTTGCATGGTCAAGGGGCAGTGGAGCAGGCCCTACGAAGAGAGGCTAAAGGGCCTGAACCTATTCAGCCTCCACAAGAGAAGTCTGAGAGGGGATCTGGTGGCCATTTACAAACTCACCAGGGGGGACCAGTGGGAATTGGGGGAGGCTCTGTTCCCCCAGGCACTACCTGGGATTACTAGGAATAACAGCCACAAATTGCTAGAGAGAAGGTTCAAGCTGGTCATCAGGAGACATTACTTTATAGTTAGGGCTGCTAGGCTCTGGAATGGGCTCCCAAGTGAGGTGGTACTCTTTTCTACCTTGGGGGTCTTCAAGTGGAGGTTGGACAGATATTTGGCTGGGGTGATACGATTCTGGCACCCATTCCTGCCCAGGGCAGGAGGTTGGACCTGTTTAGGTCCCTTCCGACCCCAAGTATTATGATACTATGATACTTTGACCCACAAGCCCTAATTAAAATTCTACAGCTAAATAAATTTCATCCTCCTGATTTCAAAGACTCCAGTAATCTCATTTAGATTGGTCTCCTAATTAATTTTTAAGAATGTGTGTGAATCCTGAAGTTGCTCACAAATAATGGTTTCCTGAAGGACAGAGCACTTCCTCTGGACCAGCAAATATGGTTCTATGCAGAGCCACATTAAAGAGCCATTTGTCTTTTGTATGATGCAGTGATTCTCAACCAAGCCTTAAAATCCTTTCAAGGGTGTCACAGGGTGCAACACAACATTAGCACTGTTAGGTGCATGAACATTATTCATCAGATAAATCCAGAAATTTCAAATAGAAATTTATAGTGTTAAATGTGACACGGTGCCTCTCCAGGGGTGGCTATGAAGCCCCTGGAGCCCCTTCAGCCCTCATCCCTTCAGTTGCCCACCACACCTTGTTGTATTATACTTTTATAAGAGACAGGCGTCCTTGGGCTTCCTAAATTGGTTTCAAATGGCCACCAGGAGACTGTGGTCACTGTCTTACGGGCGAATTGCATATTTTCATTCCTCCCCTACACCATGTCCCATGCCTTGCAGATGGCACTCTCACTGATGCTCTCTTTTACTTAGCTCCTCCTTGGAGGTTTACAGACCCTCTCTGCTCCGACACTCAGCCCCTCAATAGACTCCTGTACCCTCTCTGATCCCACACTTTCAGCTCCTCAATCTGGGCTCCAGACCCTTCCCTGCATCCCTAGGAACCTCCTCCTTCCATTTACTGGGCCAGACTATAGGTCCATCTTGCCCAGTATCCTGTCACACAGTGGCAGAGTTGAATATAACCAGGGTTTTTTCCACCATTTCTCTTTCACTTGCTGGGAAGGAATCCTAGGAAGTTCTAATTCAGTGGCTGTATCGCTAACTCCTGTGCTCAGTTGCTACTGATGCCCCTTTCCTCAGCAGGCAGCACAGAGGAGTTGGGGACAGAATAGCATCCCCAAGCTGTGGAAGCACCCCAGAAATGTGTCTCAAGTGTGCATCCAGGTTGCATCTGGGGTTGAGGCACTATCCCACATACTATTCTTGATAGTATGTTTGTCTAACATTGAAGGAGGCTCCACAGTCTCCTTACACTATGTCACGGGCAGGTCCTACCGGAGGGCTGTGATCTCCTTAAGGTCCTCATCCTCTGTGCCAAGTTGGCCCAAAGGCACCCTCTAATTCTTGCCCGCCACGTCTTTGATGTTCCAATGTATTAGGGAGGCTGCCTCACCTCTCCATGGACACGGTTACTTCTGGCCCCATGAACTCCCGGACTCTTCGTGGGTCCCGCTCTACAATGGGTGCTTCAAGGGCACCCTAGCCTTATGGGCTGTGTGTGGCTTCAACCACCCCTTATACCACGCCCCAAGCCTCGCAGGTGGAACGGACGTTGGTCTGTCAAATACACTCGCCCTCTCTCTGGGGCCTTCTCTGTACTGCTACCCTCTTCTCTAGGGCCTTCTCTGTACTGCTGCCCCCTTCTGGGGCTCTCCGTGGCCACACTGGGCCTTCTCAGTAATACCACCCCTTCTCTGGGGTTCTGTGGCCCCACTGGGCCTTCTCAGGAATGCCACCCGTCTCTGGGGCCTTCTTGGTAAAGCCTCCCTGCCTCTCAGGCCTACCGCCATGCTGTCCCCTTCCTCACAGGGGCCTTCCACAGTGCTACACCTTTCCTCAGGGGCTCGCCATGCCCGCACTGGGGCTTCTCCACTGCCCCTCTCTGGGGCTGGGGTCTATGCACCCCGTACGCTGTGCCCTTACTGGTGCTGGGGTCCCCACACTGCTGTGGGTCCCCTATGAGGCCTCCTCCAACCCCTAATAGCCTCAATCAAACCACCGGTGTAATAAATAACAACAAAGCAAAACACAAGCCTCTTGGCTACAACTTAACCATAAGCCACCTGGCTATAACAACATTGCTCCAACATCCCAGAGCTGCCATCCTTTACTCGGCTTGACTAGTACCTGCGGTTCTCACATCTTAGCTCCTTTCTCTCTAGCTGCTGGCAGGGAACTGCTATCCTGGCCTCAGCCCCTGGGCTTTATAAGGGCCAGGCCCTGCCCCTTCCGTTCAGCTGACCTTCCCTGGTTGCCCCAGCAACCCACATCTGGGCTCCTTATTCCCTGCAAGGGCCCTCTCCCTGGCAGTTTCCCTTCTCTAGGAGCAGGGCACCTCAGTGCTCTGTGACACACTACTAAGGACAGTACTCAGCTTCCCTTACAGTTAGCAAGTTTTTCCTAATATCTAACTGAAACCTTTTCTCCTGTAGAGCAAACTAATTTTTTCTTGTCCTACCCTCAGTGGACATAAAGAACAATTGATGACTGTCCTCTTTATAAAAATGTTTTACAGACTGGAAGACTATTTTCATTTCCCTCATGGCATGCAGAAAAGATTTTCTTTTTCTCTAAATTTGTCTGAATTCAGATTTTGTGAAAAGTTATCAAACTAGTAACCCTAGAAACTTAAGTGCCCTATTTATCTACAGAACAGATAGAACACAGACACTGTTGTGCAAACTTCCCCACAATGCTTCCTCAATATGTCCATCCTTTCCTGGAGTTCAGTCTACATGGTTCATTCCCTCTTTTACTCTACAAGTAATTATGATGAGCTTTTTCTGGAGACCTTCTGGGGTTAGAGTAGAGAGGGAAGGAGGAGTACAAGACTGTGACCAATAAGCTCTTGTCAGCTAGTTTAGAGATTTATCAGCAAGGATCCTGGTTTTCCCCCCAATTAAAAAAAAATAAAATAAATCACAAATTGTCTGATAAAACCTCCAAAATACATGATTAAAATCAAAGCTCCCCCC